AGTAAGCGATCTGGGACTTGCTCCCTCATTTCTCTATTCGCTTTAAGATCGGAAACTGACTATTTGAGGGACTCTCCAGATTGGACAGTTTGATCTTTAGATCTTATAAAAGGGATGGCTAACATTTTCTGTAATAATAACACAGCCAAAATGAGAGCTTAAATTATGCTTTCACGGCTAGATTTACATCGCTGTGGGCACAGTAAACAGGAAAAACCTCCCTTTCAGACCAAAGAGAGAGAAAGCTTTTTTTTTTTTAAAGATTTTATTTGTTTATGTGAAAGAGTTACAGAGAGGCAGAGGCAGAGAGAGGTAAGTCTTGCATCAGCTGGTTCACTCCCCAGATGACTGCAACAGCTAGAGCTACGCCAATCCGAAGCCAGGAGATTCTTCCAGGTCTCCAATGCAGGTGCAGGGGCCCAAGGACCTGGGCCATCTTCTACTGCTTTCCCAGGCCATAGCAGAGAGCTGGATCAGAAGTGGAGCAGCCGGGACTTGAACCAGCACCCATATGGGGAACTCCGCAAAGCAGGAAGCCCTTGACTGAACTGAAGCCATCTTCTTCTTGTTTTTATTAGGCTTAATAACGATGTAATCATTGGGTTTGGGTGTTCAAATCATGGATATCAATGTAAGAAAAATTGTTTCTTGTAAAAAAAAATGAGTTACAGGAGGTGACTGGAGAAATAAGAGGGTAATTTTCTAAAATTTGTCTAGAGCAAAATATTATCAGGAACATGAGTAATGACGAGTTTTATGAGAAAATAGAACAGAAAGAGCATACAGGTCCTTGTTCCCACAAACACACCTTTGCCTTACACAGGAGTGTATGATGAGGATGGCAGGTACACGGTTAATATTACAGCAGGTGGATTGATGTACAAGCACTGCCATTCTTACAAAGGTTAGGACGTTATACCCCTGCTTGGAAATGTAGACCACAGGAACAAGGAACTCTTACATTAGGCAATGGAATAGGTTTTATAAAAAACACAGCTGTTGGGGTTGTGACTTACCTTTAGAAAAACAGGATATAATCATTAGAACTTTATACATTTTTGGCCGGCGCCAGGGCTCACTAGGCTAATCCTCTGCCTGCAGTGCCGGCACACCGGGTTCTAGTCCCGGTCGGGGCGCCAGATTCTGTCCCAGTTGCTCCTCTTCCAGATCAGCTCTCTGCTGTGGCCCGGGAGTACAGTGGAGGATGGCTCAAGTGCTTGGGCCCTGCACCCACATGGGAGACCAAGAGGAAGCACCTGGCTCCTGGCTTCGGATTGAAACAGCGCACCGGCCATAGCAGTCATTTGGGGGGTGAACCAACGGAAAAGGAAGACCTTTCTCTCTGTCTCTCTCTCTCTCACTGTCTAACTCTGCCTGTCAAAAAAAAAAAAAAAAGAACTTTATACAGTTTTGACCTTTTAAAATAAATCAATTAACCTATGAAACCTTAGACTTTTCCAAGTTTCATATAGCTGACGTATCCACTATGCATAGAGGCAAGATTAATGGGGAGGTTATGATGAGGCCATGAAAGGAAATGAAACAAAACAAGTTTCATAGAGAAAGGCTATGCATAGATGATCCCTTGTGATGTGTTCTTTCCCAGAAAGCATAGGGGCATAGAAGGAAGAAGACTTAATGAAAAGTATGTGTAAGAAGACTATGAAATAAAGCTATGAGAGGACTGAGAGTGATGCTTCCCCTTGCCACCTAAACCTGGTCTCCTCATCTCCTTTCCTTGCCGACGCCTCCCCTCCTTCAGGACCCATGACCTGCCAAGACCAGACGGCGGGATGCTCCGCTAAGAAATCCTCTCACTACTTGGTTAACGCACTCTTAGGGTCCTGGGCTGCTATTCTGTCTTTTATTTTTATGTATTTTATTTATTTGAAAGAGTTACACAAAGAGAGAAGGAGAAGCAGAGAGAGAGAGAGACAGAGAGAGAGGTCTTCCATCCACAGTTCCCCAATTGGCCACAATGGCCAGAGCTGCACTAATCCAAAGCCAGGAGCCAGGACCTTCTTCCAGCTCTCCCATGAGGGTGCAGGGACCCAAGGACTTGGGCCATCTTCTACTGCTTTCCTAGGCCATAGCCGAGAGCTGGATGGGAAGTGGAACAGCCGAGACTCCCACTAATGCCCCATATACGATGCCCGCACTGCAGGCAGTGGCCTTACCCATGATCACAGCGCCGGCCAACAACCTGAATTTTACAATACAGTGTATGTTTAAGTGTTTACAAGAGATGATAGTAGAACGAACCAACACCTTCACCAACCAGGCAGTCGACCAAATGCTGCTACAGGGACATACTCGGCTCCCCACCCAGGAGACAGCGACTTGAGACACTGCCCCATGCCAGCAGAGAGTAACTTGTCAGCAGGAAGTAGCTCTAAAGACAGATCATTGTCCCTCTACCCCTCCTGGACTTTGAGGGATAAAGTAATCCCATACAACTCTTGCTTTATAAAACACAAGAGGAGAATGTTAGTAAAATGGCACAGTCTTATCTGTGTGCAATCTACACCCAGAACATCATCCTAGGCTCTTGCCCCCATGCCGCCATTGCCAGAAGCCAGGTGACCCATGGCCCAACCACAGGTGTCAGTTCTACCCCAACCCTAATGGGATTTGCTGCTCCTACTTCCCTGCCCACCCCCCGGCAAAGGTTTAACAGGACCTGTTCCTGAACACGTGTCTCTCTCTCTCTTGATCTCTCTTACACTCTCCTGATCTCTTACTCTCTCGCCCTCTTCCCTGGACCATCGGGCTTCTGCCACCCGACCATAAACCTTCCTCTAACTCTGGGGTTTGGAGTGTTTGGTGGTAACTTCTCTTTAAAAGAGGTTCAGTCAATAACTAGTGAGGATCCTGGTACACTGTTGATTATCATTATCCTGAAGCTTTCCACAGACCGTGTTCACATACTAAAAATGTTTTAGGCATCACCTAAAAAACACTGAACTTTTCAGACTAACTTTTGGATTACGCTCATTTTTAAGTACATGATGGTATGAGCCCTTTTCCCGCTGCTACAGTAAGATGCCGTGGGAGGGAAAATTATGAAGTGTACATGTTTATTTGGCTCATGGTCCTGGAGACAGGGAAGTCCACGACCATGGTGCCAGAACCTGGCAAGGGCCTCATGGTCAAAAGGCAAGAGAGCAAGACTGCAAGAGAGCAAGTGAGCAAGACAGCACCGAGAGATTGGACAAGGAGGGAAAACACCAACACCCCCACCATGGTAACCAACCCACTCCTGTGATGCTGGCCTTAACTCATCCATGAGTTGGAGCCCTCAGTGGCTCCCATGAAGCACCATCTCCTGATTCTGTTACAATGGCAATTAAGCTCAGCATAAGTTTTGGAGGGGGCAAAATGTCAGACCATAACATTCAATCTCTGGCTCCACAAAACTCACGTCCTTCTCACAGGCAAAATACATTCCTTCCATCCCAATAGCCTGGAAAGTCTTAACTTGTTCCAGCACCAAGGTGAAAGTCTCAGCCAAATCAGATAACAGGTGACCCTCATCCTAAAGCAAATGCCCTACAGCTGCGAGCCGACGCAAGCAAGTCAAGACATTTCCAAAACAGAGCGGTGGGACAGGCATAGGAAAGGCATTCCTATCCCGAAAAGGAGCAGTAGGCAAGGCAAAAGAGATAACTGGTTCCAGCTAAGTCCACAACTCAACAGCAAAACAGCATTAAATCTGAAGGCTGGAGAACAGCCCCCTTGGATTCATGTACGGAATCCGGGCACCGGCACACCTATAGCTTTGTTAGGCTCAGTCCACCCAGCAGCTCGCTCAGCTTGGGCCTCATGCCTGCAGCTCTCCCCAAGACTGGCATCGCACAGTGGTAACTCTATGGCTCTGGTGTCTGGGAGTGGCCCCACTCTTACAGGTCCCTGAAGCATTGCCTTGGCAGAAGCTCGCTGTGGTGGCTCTAGCCCTGAGACAAGTCTCTGTCTGGGCCCCCTGCCTTCCCACAGCATCCTGTGAAATCTAAGTCGAGGGAGCCATGGACCCACAGTTCTTGCTTTCCGCACACCGTGGATGTCACCAAGGCTTATCGATTGTACCTTCCACAGCACAGGCCAAGTCAGAAGTAGGTCTGAACGAGCCAAGACCGGGACAGCCAAGGAACGCTACACCAGAACACAGGAGGCCCATGGAGGGCAGCCAGGTCCCTTCCAGAGATATTCTGCGCTCCTAGATTGCTTAGCCAGTGCTGGGAGGACCAGCCCGAGGGATCTCTGAAATGCCTCTGAGGTCAGTCTCCCATTGCCTTGATTCCCTCCTGTTCACTTGTCTACTTGGTAACTGCCACTTGGCCACATCCCTGCTTTGCTCCCCTGAACACACCTTTTCATGTTTTATGTGGCCAGGCTGCAAAATTTCCAAATCTTCCCATTCTACTGCTCTTTTAATTAAAAATTCCTTCCTAAGTCAGTTCTTCCCACTTGCATCTCACTGTGTGTGGTTCAAAGTAGTCAACCGGTAGACTGAAGGCTTTGTTGCTTAGATAATTCTCTTACCAGATGCCCTAGTTCATCAGTTTAGTGCTCTGCATTCCACAAGGTCCAAGGACATGGACAAAATTCTGCCAAGATCTTTGCAACAAGGATGGGCTTTACTTCAATTTCCAATACTTCATTCCTCAGTTCCACCTGAGAGCTCATCAGAATGGCCTATGCTGTCCATGATCGTGGTCTCTCATGTAATCCTTAAGGACTTCCAGTCTTTCCCCATAGCTCTTTTCTTCCACTAAGCTGTCACCAGAATGATACTTAATGCAGCAGTGTGGTCACCTAGGCTTGTTCTACTCTGATCTTCCAAATTCTTCCAGTCGCTACCCATTACCCACTCCAAAGTTTCTTCCACATAGAGGGTATTGGTTAAACTAGTGCCACTTCTGGTACCAATTATCTTTTCTATTTTCTTCCAATAGGATACCACCTATTGTAAATTATGAACAATAGGAAAATATTTGGCTCACCATTGTGGAAGTCCAAGAGAACATGCTGGGATCTGATGAGGTCCTTCACGCTCTGTCACCTCGGGGGAGAAGATGCAAGAGCAACACAGTGTGAGAGAAGAAAGAGGCTGGACTCCCCTCTTTGTAATGACCCATCCCACGAGAGTGGTGTTAATCCATTCATGGGGTGGAGCGCTCATAAGTTAAATACCTCCTATCAGGTCTCCTCTCTTAATACCATTTTCTTTGAAAAGGAAAAAGAAAAGAGAGATTGATTTATTTATTTGGAAGGCAGAGTTCCAGACCGAGAGAGAGGTCTTCCATCCATGGGTTCACTCCTCAGATGGTCACAATGGCTGGAGCTGTGCCGATCTGAAGCCAGGAGCCAGAAGCCTCTTCTAGATCTCTTACGTGATTGTAGGGACCCAAGCTCCTGGGCCATCTTCTGTTGCTTTCCGAGGAACATTAGCAGGGAGCTGGATCAGAAGTGGAGCAGCCTAGACTGGAACCAGCTCCCATATGGGATACAGGAGCTGCAGGCAAAAAAGGGCTTTACCCCACTGTGCCACAGAGTCGCCACCTCCCCTTCATTTTTACAGTGATCTACTTTCAGATTACTTTATACTCATAAAATTAACCCTATGCTAAGTAATGAGGGGAACAAATAGGATGAAGAAAACAACACTGTTCCTCAGCAGTGGAGACAAGGGCTGTAAACAATCATCGAAGCTCAAAATGTCAGTTTCACTCCTTTGCATTACATTTTTGGTACTCCATTAGTTACCACAGATCAGGGAAAATATGTAGTATTTGTCTTTTGGGGACTGGCTTGTTTCACTAAGTATAAGGGCTTCCAGTCACATCCATTTTGTTGCAAAAGAAAGGATTGCATCCTTTTTTATGGCTAAGTAGTATACCATAGTGTAAACACACCATAATTTCCTTACCCAGTCATCAGTTGGTGGACATCGGATGGACTCTAATAGAAGCAGTAGACAACATGCAAGAGCAAGTGATAATCTAAGCAGACAGATGGACATTCTAAAAAAAAAAAAAATAGTGGAGGGAGCCAGTGTTGTAGTACACTCTGTTAAGATTCCACTGTGACGCTGACACCATGGCAGAGCTGGAGTCCCTGCTGCTCTGCTTCTGATCTAGCTCTCTGCCAATGCACCCGGGAAGGCAACGTGGGCCCTGTCACCCATGTGGGAGACCTCGATGGAGCTTCTGGCCCCCGGCTTCTGTCTGGCCTAGCCTTGGCTGCTGTGACCATTCGGGCAGTCACTCAGTAGATAGAAGACTTTCTCTCTCTCCCCCCTCTCTCTCTCTTTCTCTGCCTTTCAAATGAATAAACAAATCTTTTTTAAAAAGAAGGAAATAGTAGAGATCAATCAATGTAACAGAAATACAGGGATCATTTGATAGGCTCATTGGTAAACTGGATTCAGCTGAGTAAACTGTCTCTGAGCTTGAGCACTTGCCAACAGAAACTGCCCCCCTTAATCAGACACCATACCAGAGATCTAGGTCAGATAACACTAGCTGGAATAAATAACAATTAAAAACAAAACAAACCACTACCCCATTCCAACTATACTCAGATTGCAGAAAATACAAAGAGGGGATGGCATGGAACCCCAAAAATAGTCAGAGAAAAAAAATTATATCTGTAGGAGAGCAACGATAAAAACTACATATGACTTCTCCTTCAACACCAGTCAAGCAAGAAGATAATGGAATACAATACTTGAAATGTTAAAAGAAAAATCCTACCCATCTGCTGTCCTGATTAGTTATACTTCAAGAATGAAAGAGAAATAAGAACGTTCTCAGGCAAATAAAAACCAGAGGAATTTGCTGCCATTAGACATGCTTCACAAGAAATGCTAATAGAAAGGAAATTAATACAGGTCAGAAACTCAGATCTACATAAAGAAAAGAGTATTAGAGAAGGAATAAATGACTGTAAAAAAAAACTTTATTTTTCCATTTGTCAATCTAACAAATAACAGTTTGTTCAAAACAATACCAACACTGCATATGATTGTTATAGTTTGCTCTTAAGTGAAATAAATGGCAACAAAGACACAAAGGGAAGAGAGAAGGATTAGGACTGTTTTGTGATTGTAAGATATGATATGAAGGTACTTGGCTTTTATAAAGCACCTGTGAAATGGCATCGTATTTTATAAAAGTGAATTGGGAGCACTGGTTTGAGTTCCAGCTACTCCATGCTTCCGATACAGCTTCCTGCTAATATGCCTGGGAAGACAATAAAAGATGTCCCAAGTGCTTGGTTCCCACCACCCACATGGGAGACCTGGACTGAACTCCTGGCCCCTGGCTCCTGGCTCCTATCTCCTGACTTTGGCTTGGCCCAACCCTCACCATTGGCACAATTTAGGGAATGAACAAGTGGATGAAAGTCTCTCTCTCTCTGTCTCTCTCTCGCTGCCTTTTTCTCTCTGTTACTTACATGATTTTTTTATAAAAAAAATTAAGTGGACTTGGATTAGTTGTGAATATATATTGTAAACTCTGGTGCAGCAACTAAAAGAAAAGCAAAAAAAATATAGTTAATACTCATAGAAAGGACAGAAAATCATATAAAATGTGCAGTTGAAACCACAAAAGCCTGAAAAATAGCAAAACACAAAAATAGGAACAAAAAATAAGACCAAGAGAAAGTCAATGTGTATGAAGAATCAAGACCCAACTATGCGTGGTCTATGAGAAACCCATTTTAAATGTAAAGACACATATATAATGAAAGTAAAGGGACAGGGAAAGATATACCATGCTAATACAAAAGAAAAGAAAGTTACAATAACTATATTAATTTCAGACAGAGCTGACTGCAGAGCAAAGAACATTATCAGGGATCAAGGGACATTACATGATAGGAGGTTAATTCTCTATGAAGACTTATTAATGCTTCATGTGTTATGTACAAAACAACAAAGCTCCACATGCATGAACTAAACCTGACAGGATTACAAGGTTAAATACATGGAACCACCACTATTCTTGAAGACTTCAACAGCTCTCTATTTCTCTATCAGAAATGGAGCGATCCAGCAGACAGAAACCCAGTAAGGACATACATAAGCTCAAAACACCAGCGATTAACTGGACATAATGGACACCTATACACTACCTCATCCAGCAACAGCAGAGTGTACACTCTCCCCAAGGCCACATGGGACAGGCCATGCCCATGCTACAAGGCACAGCTCAACACATTCTCTAAAGTACAAATTATAGAATATATGTCCTCAGACCACAAAGGAATTGGACTAGAAAGATACCTGGAAAACCAGGAAGTACTTAGAGATAAAACTACAAACTGCTAAGTAACACTGGGTTAAGGAAGAAATCACAAAAGAGAATTTTAAATATTTTGAACTAAGTGAACAGTTTGTCAAAATTTGGGAGAAGCAAAAGCAGTGCTTAAAGAGAAATTTGTAGAACCGAATGCATATATAAGAAAAGATGAAAGATCTAAGGAAACTAGAAAAAGAAAAAATAATAAATCTAAGGTAAGCAGAAGAAAGAAAAGGAAAAAAGAGAGAAAGGGAAAAAAGAGAAAGAAGATATAATTATCAATATCAGAAATGAAAGAAGGTACATCACTACAAATACCTAGATATCAAAAGGATAATAAGGAATATTAAGAATTTTGCTGGCGCCGCGGCTCACTAGGCTAATCCTCCGCCTAGCGGCGCCGGCACACCGGGTTCTAGTCCCGGTCGGGGCACCGGATTCTGTCCCGGTTGCCCCTCTTCCAGGCCAGCTCTCTGCTGTGGCCAGGGAGTGCAGTGGAGGATGGCCCAGGTGCTTGGGCCCTGCACCCCATGGGAGACCAGGAAAAGCACCTGGCTCCTGGCTCCTGCCATCGGATCAGCGCGGTGCGCCGGCCGCAGCGCGCCGGCCGCGGCGGCCATTGGAGGGTGAACCAACGGCAAAGGAAGACCTTTCTGTCTCTCTCTCTCACTGTCCACTCTGCCTGTCAAAAAAAAAAAAAAAAGAATTCTATACCTACACATTTGATAGCCTAAATAAAATGGTGTGATATTTTGAAAGACACAATCAGCAAAAACTCACACAAGAAGAAACAGGTCCTTGTCAACGAAACTGACTAATTAATAACATTACAAAATAGAAAACACTGGGCTTTCATGGGTTCACTGGTGAATTCTGCTAAGCAGCCAAGAAAAAAATTATAGCAAATCTCTTCCAGAAGATAGCAGCAGAGAATACTACCTAACTCATGCATCACCTTAATACCAAAACCAGATGAAATATTACAAGAAAACAAAGAATCAGAATCTCATGGATCCAAAAATTATCAACAAAATACTCACAACTGAATTGAACAACAGGTAGAAATCTCAAACCTAAATGAGATTCATCCCAGGTATGCTGGGCTGGTTCAATATTCAAAAACAAACTAATTTAATCTATCCCATCAACAAAACCTTGAGGACATGCTGCTAAGGGAAACAACCCAAACACAAAAAGATAAACACCATATGATTCCACTTACACCAGTAGCACCAAACTCAAAAAAAAAAAAAAAAAAAATAGGACGGCAGCTGCCAGCTACTAGGAGAAGGGAAAAATGTGTTATTATTTTTTTGATATTTATTTGTTTATTTGAAAGGCAGGGTTACAGAGAGGCAGAGGGAGAGACACAGAGAGATCTTCCATCTGCTGGTTCACTCCCAAGCTGGCTGCAATGGCAGGAGCTGGGCCAATCTGAAGCCAGGAGCTTCTTCCGGGTCTCCCACACAGGTGCAGGGGCCCAAGCACTTGGGCCATCTTCTACTGCTTTCTCAGGCCATAGCAGAGAGCTGGATCAGAAGTGGAGCAGCCAGGACTCGAACCAACACCCACATAGGATGACGGCACTGCAGGTGGCAGCTTTACCAGCTGCACCACAGTGCCAGCCCCAAAATGTGTTATTATTTAATGGGTATGGAGTTTCAGTTTGACAAGATGAAGGTTCTAGAGAGAGATCTGTTGCACAACAATAAGAATACACTCAGACGTAACACTACTGGACTGCAGACTTAAAAATAGTAAGAGGGTAGGGATTTAGCCCAACGGTTAAGATGCCTGTGTCCCATTTATTGGAGTAGAAGGGTTCAGTGCCTGGCTCCGGCTCTTGACTCCGGGTTCCTGTTAATGCATGTCACTGAAGGCAGCCGTGACGAGGACATGAGGAGCACTTGGTGGTGGAGCATCTTTATGATGTATGTATGTGGAACACAGAACACAGGGGCAGGCGTGGTGGCACAGCAGACTCAGCTGCAGCTTGGGGTGCCCACCTCCCACATCAGAGTGCCTGCTTGAGTCCCAGCTCCTCTGCTTCTGATCGGGTTTCTTGCCAATGCATCTTGGAGGCAAGAGATGATGGAGGGTGGGGAGGGTGGGGAGTAGCACTATCCTGTGACACACAGAGCAGACCTGGACTGAGTTCCTAGCTCCCAGAAGACTCAGGCAATTGAGGGAGAGAGTCAGCACTCTCTGGCTTTTGTATATTCTTTCTCTGTCTTCCTATCTCTGGCTCCCAAAAACAAAACTTTAATTTTTAAATTATTAGGATGATAAATTTATGTTATGCATTTTGTTATGTTTTTTCCACACTTACAATTTTTCAAAATCATTATAGGAATTAGACCATATATAAAACTGAATGACAATATAGCGCCTTTCACATGTTAAAGCTGTGAATCTAACCAAACAACTTAGAAGAAAGTCTGTAGTATTAAAAGCATACACATGAGGCCAGCGCTTTGGTGTAGCTGTTAAATCTGCCACCTGCAGTGCCACACGGAATCCCATATGGGCACTCATTGGAGCCGGCTGCTCCATTTCTGATCTAGCTCCCTGCTATGGCCTGGGAAAGCAGTAGAAGATGGCCCAAGTCCTTTGGCCCCTGCACCCGTGTGGGAGACCCGGAAGAAGCTCCTGGCTCCTGGCTTCTGGCTTTGGATCAGCGCAGCTCCGGCCATTGTGGCCAACTGGGGAGTAACCTG